TTTTCTTTCATTAACATGAAACTTTAGTTTTACCAACGTATGATATTTTCGATGTCAATGAGACTCAATATGAGAAACATGAATATGTTAAATGCCCTAACACCCAAACAAACACAGAGACATATGGGGGAAGATGTGAACACCATTTTTTGTGTTGATTGTAATTGATATGTGATGAGAACGTAGGAAAAATAAATTTCTTTGTCGAAAGCAGAGAGATAGAAAGAATCACGTACGACATGTCCACGCCTGTCCGAGCAAGCATCATGTGCTTCCCGGAATTTCTACAGGATAGAAGCAAACAATGAAAGCATAAGAACAGAAATCATTTCATAAACGTGAACATTAGACAAATTTTAATATCATGGGTCAGAGATGGAATTTTGAATTCTTGGAGAGTGTTGCATAGAGGATTTTGAATTCCATGGTTCGGAGGTGGAACCAACCAATAAGGTAGAGAAAGATAGTTTTGACTACTAACCCTTGGCGAGGAAGGATGGCTACAATTGAATCTTTGGAGAAAATGTCCGTATAGGGAGTTACGATGCCTGACCCGTGGAGATAGTTTCGATCGGCTAAATAAGAAAGACGATTGAAGCTTAGGAGTCTTCGATACTCTTTTTTGATGAGATGAATGGAATTTGTTGAAACCATGATTCATTGTTTTGGGATAAAAATTTATGAAGATTGATGATAAATCTCTGGTGTTTAACCCTTCGCTTGCCTTCTTCCCCTTTCGTTCTACTTCTAATACACAGATGGTATCGACAATTTTCTTTGCCCAATAAACCCTAGACGAAAGAAGAGGAAGATACAATAGCTATGCAACTATATATGAAGAAGAAGGATCGTTGGAACTTTTCTTCACTGAATTATAGTGTCTCTTTGGTACTCGGATGCATATTCTAGGGAATTAATGATTCTAAGCAAACGAAGACTAACGATAATGAATTTTTTTTTTTTTTGATGATGTGTCATGGAGAGGATAGCTTAGGTGGCAAGTCCTTGTGAGGGGAAGTCATCTATTATATATTAATAGAGGAGACAATAGGTGAAAATCCTAGGTGTCATCTTAAGAGGGTTTTCAGAAATTCATTTCCTAATAAAAATTAGTCAAATCCTCTATATATTAATAGAGGAGACACTAGGTGAAAATCCTAGGTGTCATCCTAAGAGGGTTTTAAGGAATTCATTTCCTAATAAAAATTAGTCAAAATTATTAAAAATTCTTAATAACAAATATATGGTAATTAATATAGAAAATTTTATTTAAGGAATATAGAAAATATTTGAAAATATCTTATTTTCTTTTCAATAATACTAGATTTTTTTATCCGAGTCAAAAGTGGTATTAAAATATTTAAAAACAAAAATTCATGATTATTTTTAATAGATGG